GATTTGGAGGGCATGAACACTTCGTCCAAGAGAGTGGCACTCAGTCAGGACTCTGAACTATCACATGGGAGGTGGAGAAGCTCCTGGATTAGCCAAGGCTGGGACAGAGATGCAGGATCACCTGGGGAAGGACCCGGTTTAACTACTGTGGTTTAAACGGGCAGTGACCCCACAGGCTCATGTACGCGGGCCTGACCCCTGAGGCCACTGTGCTCGAGGCTGAGCGGCTACCAGGGCGCCGACCTCAGTGACCAAGGCCTTGTCTCCATCAAGGACAGCTGGGTTGACTGTTAGCAGTTGGGGCCCCATTGGAAGAAGCAGGCGCCGGGGATAACTATGAAGGTCATACCTGGGCCCAGCTCCGTCCCCTCTGGCTTTTCCCCCTGTCCCCGCTTCCTGGCCATTGTGAGGTCAGCAGCTCTCTCCTACTTCACCTTTCCCCGTGCTGGTTCTGCCCTGGAGCCAGCTGGCCGTGGCCTGAACCTTCTGAAACAGTAAAAGCCAAAATGAACCTTTTGTTCTCTACCTATTGTACGTCAGGTATTTTGTCCCAGCGATGGAACGGTGACTAATACTGGCCCAACCCATCGAGGACAGTTATCGGCTCACAGACTGGAAAGTTCAAGGGCAGCACTGCCTCGGGAAATTCACACTGAAGCGCTCTCCTTCCCGTCTTGTCTTCCAGTAGGGGCAAACTCATCCCAGCTATTCACATTTTTTAAAAGAAAACTGTATTGGCTGACTGAATGAGTGATTGAGACAGGGTCTCGTTATGTTCAGCCTGGTCTTGCACTCGCAATGTACCCCAATCTGGCAGCAATCCTCCGGGCTCAGCCTCCCAAGCGCCTTCACATTTAACAATTCCATGCTTCAGCAGAACTCTTTCCTAGTTCCCACACACACACACAAATCTCAGGGCTAGGGCCGGGAATGTAGCTCGGCGGCAGTCTTCCTGGCAAGCCCCAGTCCTTGAGCTCCATTTCCGATACCAAAACAAACAAACCAACAAACCCCAATAATTCAGGGCTGACTCTCAGTGGGCCACTTCGGGTCACGTGCCCATCTTTGACCCAATGGCAGCAGCCTGGGGGAGGGACTAACACCCAAGGGGCTAATCCAGGAGAGGGGTCCGCTCCCCTTAGATTGAGAGAACGAGCGCCTCCTAGTGGGGGAGCAGAGGAATACAACCAGACCAACCCCATGGTTAGAGGAAAACGTACATCCCTCGGAGGAGCAAGGAAAGAAGACGTGTCTGAAAGTTACAATTGTAGAAAGGGCTGAGGATGTAGCTTCGTGGCAGAGTGCTTGCCTAGCATGTGTAAAACCCTGGGTTCAGTCCAGTACAGCAAAGTAAAAAACAAGAAAAATTGTTTCTTAGCCCCTGCAGGGAGTCCCTCCTGTCCGGGGAGCTTCTCTCCCCTCCATCCAGATGCACAGCCTCCTTCCCAGCCGTGCCAGACACCCTCTGTAAGGCCCTGGCTCACTTTTATGCCTAGAAGTCAACTCTGAGTCTCTGCCCAGGGCCCAGTGCAGAGATGGGGTTCTATGAACCCAACCCTCCCCTCAGGTCCGCCTCCCAGCGCCATGAAGGCAGAAAGCAGAGGAAGGAAGCCACACAGCTCCACAGTCAGAGAGGCCGACAGAAATGGAAGCACAGCTACCGAGAGACAGAGATGGGGCTGGAGATATGGGTGGCAGAGAGAAAGGGCAAGATCTATGGAGAGGCTGGCCATGGTGCCGGCCCAGCACTCTGGAAGCTGAGGCAGGAGGATTGCAAGTTTGAGCCTAGCCGAGCAATTTAGCAACTTGAGGAAATCACCTCAAGGGGGGGAGGGGGGCACCGGCTGGGGGATGTAGATTATTGCAAAGGTCCTGGATTCAATTGCCAACATTGAAAAAAATCATCCCCAGGGAGGGGTCTGGAAGGAAAGTTCCGTAGGAGAGCCGCAGCTGGTTAAAGCTTTTTTCCCATTAAGCAAACACGGAAGGCTCCAGTGTCGTGTTTTGTACAGCTGAACTTTCCATATGAGGAGCTGAGTTAGCTGAGGGACCAATTCTGGTAAAAATCCTGGAGCCTGTGAGGCGGCTGGGGTGGGAGGGGAGGCAGCAAGACAGGAGGAGCCAGCGTTTGTCCCTAGGTCGGCCCTCCCTGACTTGGCGCGTTCATCTTCCAGCAGCTCTCGGAGGCTTCCCTGGGCTGGAAGAGGAAGTGAGAGCTGCTAAGTGAGGAAGTCAAGGGCTGGGAGGAGCAGCCCGTAGGAAAGGGCCCAGGGAAGGTTCTGGATCCAGCCAGACCCTCAGTGCCAAGATGGACACCTCCAGGTCAAGTTAGGGTTACAGCCCCCACTTCTCCCCGAGTTGACCCAAATCCAAGAAGGGAGATCTGGAGGTGCATCATCAGATGTGGCTTTGATAGATTTTTTATGTTTTGAGGTGCTGGGAATTTAACCCAGGGCCTGTGTACTCTACCACAGAGCTGTCCCAGGACTAGGTATGGCACTCAGATTGCCACATGAGCTGGACAAAGGCCCTCTTCTGATGCTTCCTCATCTGCACAGATGACCAGAAACACCTGCCCACAGAAAGGAGTGCCTGGGGCTCACCTCCCTGTGCAGTCAGGGCCAGGGTATCCTCACCATCCATCTGATTTCACTCTTTAATGTGACAAAACTACAGTGTAGCCTGGCACTGTGGCTCACACCTGTAATCCCAACACTCTGGGAGGCTGAGGCAGGATGATTTTGATTTTGAGCCCAGCTTGGCCAACTTAGTGACTTAGCAAGACCCCATCTCAAAATAAACCATAAAAATGGGCTGGGGGTGTTATCAGCAAAAGCTCTGGCTTGCATCCCCAGTACCGCATAAATGAAAGCAGCACCAACAAAGCACCACATACTCATGATTTGAATTTTATTTTCTGAAATGGAACCATTGTACATTGTACAAACCATATCTACTGATGGAATAAATAAGTGAAAAATTATACTGCTGTACAACACACCAAAAAAAATTGTAAGAGGAAAAGAAATTAATGGTGAAAAGGTCTTTATCCCTCTGAGCAGGTCCTCGGCGCTAAGGAACATTCCTAACGTGACACTGGCTGAAGATGGCGGTCACCACCCCAGGGGAAGCGGGGCCCCCAGCCTCTGCTCCGGTCGGTGCCAGCATCTGGAATGTGGAGCCACAGCCTGCCCACCTCGGAGTCTCGGGGATCGAGTTTGTCCTGGGAGCCCTTTAGGCCACGGGGCCTGGTGTCCCCTGGACCCCACCCTGGCACAGCCAGGTCTTGGGTTCCGGTGGGGACAGGGCGAGGGGTGCGGGCGGCTGGGAAGGAAGCACATTGGATTTCTGCAGTGTCACCGATCCGTGTGGAAGGCGTCCGGCCGGCGGGCTGAGCAGGACTGCCGGCGCTTTGCCTGGCCTGGCTGTGGCCATGGTGGGCCCGGCAGGTCCTCACCATCGGCCCGTTCCTACCTACAGGCACTTCAGAGAGAAACAAAGGACAGCCTGGGGACTGCGGACTTTGTCACCTTCACCCCCACGGTGCCAGCTCCCCTCGCCGGTCAGAGAGGCACAGGGTCCCCGCTGACCATCTGTCCCCGAAGATTCGTGTGTGGGACTCTCCGTCGGCTGTCACCTCTCATTTCCCTAAATAAATATTCCAATTCGTCTTGCCCCGAAATGGTTTTGCTGCAAAAAAAAAGTGTCACCGTAGCTTCAAGAGACCTAGAAGTCAAGCCTCCGGGAGTCTCAGGTGGGTCTGAAGGTCCTGCATCAGGTCACAGCTGTGACAAGACCCAAGTATCAGCAGAACTGGCTGCCTGAGGGCAGGATGGAGAAGTAAGAGGATTTTTTTTGTTTTAAGACAGAAACCTTTCAGCATCGCTAACTTCAACATTAAGATTTTCAGTTTGTTTTTTTTTTTCCCTTATTTCAGGAGACATTTTGCATGAGGTATTTGAAATTCAGGAACATTTCAGATTCTTCTTGAAGTGCAGGAAATAGATAGGCTCCCTTTAAAAAAAATAGGAGCTTCGCCCTCAGAAACTCTTAGAAAATGGAATCTGGCAGACACTTCCCAGGGTGGTCAGAGAAAGAGCCCCACGGCGAAGGTGGTACCTGAATATGCACCAGTTTAGCCCCAAAACAAAATGAAAAAAACAAACAAAACCCGCAGCCCCCCACCCCCAACACACAGCTCAAAGGGAGCCAGAACTCCAGTGCAGTAAAGAAAGCTCAGGGAAAGGTTTAAGGTCCGAGGGGTCTGGAGAGTCATTAGAGCAAACCAGGCCCCGGAACTGACAGTCCGGCATTTGTCTCCGTCATCTCCATGGAGACAGGACGCTGTTTGGCGTCAGAGGGGTGGGGCTAAGGGGCCCGCTTCTGCGGGGTGCTACTTCCTGGAGGGTGTGCAAATCTTCCCAAGTCCTGGGTGCCTTTGCCCGGCCTTTAAGGCCCAATCATCAAGGCCAGCTCCCTGCTGAGGCGGAGGGCTTATCCTGGAATGAGCCCCAGCCCCATCACTCTGAGAGTCAGTACGTGGGCGACCACCTCCAAGCCGAAGGGGAGCTGGGGGCCGAAGGCCAGGGACTTGAATCCAGCGATGTCCCGGGAGGATACAGCACCAGCTTTGGCCCGCGGCCTGCTCCTGGCCTCCCGGGCCCTGACGCTGCCTCAGGAAGAGCTGCAGCATCGTCCAGAGGTCCAGCAGAGGACGGAGGTGGTGGCGACGGTGGGGACAGGGGTGCAGAAGTGCCAGAAACATCCAAGGGCTTTGCAAGTCCTAGAAACACCCAGTTCCCGGGGCGGGCAGGCGAGGGCATGGCGCAGAGCAGGAGGCCAGGCTGGGCTCAGGGCGCCTTGGACCCATACCTCTGCCCTGCTGCAAAGTGGTCCTGGGCGGGGAGGGAGGGGGTGGTCAGGTGGTGGCTGCAAAACAACCAGGAGACATGCCAGAGGTCACCTCAAGGGCACAAGGCACAGAAAAAGAAAGCAGAAGGGATCGTGAAACAGTGAAAAGCCCCGACAGGAAGTGGCTCCTGATGGGCGCCACCCTCCCGTAGCTCGAATCGTGAGACAGAGGGGGACACAGCAGCAACACAAATGTCATCTTGGCTCCCAGGACAGTGTGCAGACTCCTGAGCTATCGCTCGCCTCCCCGAGGACAGTTGCTTCAAGGTTCGAGGGTCTCGCTTCGTGGCAGAGGTCTTCAGTGTCTGAGAAGTCACGCTGGGCCAGGTGTCCTTGGATTCGACTTGGTAAACTGGAAACTGAGTGGTCTGTCCGCACCTGAGGGCACCGCCTGGGCCGCGTGGTCCAGGATGCAGCCTGCGGTGCCCTGCCAGGACACACGGCTGGAGACCGAGCTGGCGCCTACATCTCCTCGGGGTTCTGCTGCGAGGCCTCCAGCTTCAGCTTCTTGGAGGGTGGTGCTCCTTCCGGGTCCTGGGCAGGAGGAAGGGGAGAGCAGCTCAGGCAGAGGTCAGGCCTCTGGGAGGGCAACTATGCCCTACCCAGGGCTCTGCCTTCCCAAGATTAATCTAAAGGCTTACAGGGAGCACCACAAGCTCTCATCGAATCCTCCCTGCAGCCCAGGGCAGGCCCGCACCTCATCGGACAGCCACAGCCTGGCTACAAAGAGTTGGTGCTGGGATTCTAACCCAGGTCGTCTCTGGAACATCAGCTATCACTACGGCTCCCTAATGTGCACTGCGGGATCTGGGCCAGGTTCTGATGTTTAGTTACAACCCAGTGAGGCACGAGTAAGGGCTGTGGGCTCTAAGTCTGGCTTGGGTTCTGGGTTTCTGAGGCCTTGTCTCCCAGACCCAACGGACACAGGCTCGGGTCACTGGGGTGGCCAATGCCATTGTGGGCCCGAAGCCACACAGGAGGAAGCTGTGGCTGCCTCCTCTACCTTAGAGATTCCCTGGGATCAGGGCCATGTGTGCCAGCCATCACACAGCACCAGTGCCTGGGGCAGGGCCTTGGGGATGTCACTCACAGTTTCTAGTTGTTCTCCCTGCCTTGCTTCCAGTACTAGGGCTTGAACTCGGGGTCTCACACTGAGCTACATCCCAGCCCCTTTTATAGTCTTGAGACAGGGTCTCAGGAAGTTGCTAACTTGCTCAGGCTGGACCTGGTCTCCTGATCCTCCTGCCTCAGCCTCCCAGTTATAGGCTCAAAGACACCTGGGCCTGGTGCCAGGTACCTGAGAGTTTGCGGTCGACTCGGTGGCCAGCCCCGACTCTGCAGACGGCTGCCGCTCCACTTTCTCCGAACCATTTGAGTTTTCCATCGATGACTGTGAGTTCTGCTCATCAGCAGTGTCTGAGAGAAAGAGCAAGATGACAGAAGCTGTTTTCAGACATGTGACACACATGACAGGCGAGAGCAGATGGGCCCAGTTCTAAAAATACTCAGACTCGGGGGTTTTGTGGCTGTGTCTTTCAGAGCTGGATGGGCTGGGGGCCTGCGAAAACGCTTGTTTATTTGTTGTGAGGTTTTCAGCAGCCAGGCCACAGGCGGGTCACAGGCCTCTCCCCACACAGCTGATGCTGCAGCCCCAGCGCCCCCTGGTGGCCACATGCCCCACAACCACAGCTGTGACTCCCTCTCCCCCAGGGTAGCAGGGGCTGCGTCTCCCCCTGGCGTCATCTTCTGTAAACGTTTCTTTTCATGAGTGTTTCTCCCAAGGACCGAGAAATGACTGATGAGCGCAGGAAACAGAAAATACAGTTGAAAAAAGTTACAATCACCATCTCACAGCACCCAGCCAGCACGTGAGGATGAGCCCCTCTCCTGCCTGTCCCTGGCACGCACATCCTCCCGTCTCCCCAGCCGACCTCAGGGCTGTTGCATGGAGGGCTCGCCTGCCACCCCATACATAAGGGACACAGGCTCTGGGGACAGAACTAGGCTGGATACGGCCCCCACCGCCCCGGCCCTGGTTTCCTGTGGGACCAGGGGCCAATGGTCCCCCAGCGAAGACAAGGATGATGACAGCACCCAGCCTCCCTGTCAAATGGCCATAAGGAGCCTGAGGATGAGATAAAAAGATGCAGGCAGGGCCGGCGGTGGGCGGAGAGCTCAGTGGCACTGTGCCTGCTTTGAGTTTGAACCCTGGTGTGTGGGGGGGGATGGACCGACGGACACAGGACCCCAGGCTTCAAACTAACCCTGACAGGAATAACAGGGATGATCTGGTGCAGAGAATCTTGAAGCCTGCAATTCCTTTGATATTTTTAGTCTCACCTTTCAAGTCCAAGTTAATGGCCGTTCCTCAAAAAGTTAGACACAGGATTGCCATATGACCTGGCAATTTCACTCGTAGGGACAGACCCAAAGAATGGGAAACAGATTCCTTTTTGAGGGGATGGGGTACTGGGGATTGAACCTGGGACCTTTGCACCGAACTACATCCCTCGCCCTTTTTAATTTTTTATTTTGAGACAGGGTCTCACTAAGTTGCTAAGTTACCCAGGCTGTGCTCTAACTTGTGATCCTCCTGCCTCAGCCTCCCAGATGCTAAGATTATGGCGTGCACTACCATGCCCAGCCTGCAAGCATATTCTTGTACACTAAAAAAGGTGGAAAGACCCCAAAGATAAACAGATGGGTGGATGAACAGATCTGTCCACCCCTGGGAACATCATGCAGTCCTGAGAAGGGACCAAGCACTAATGGGTGGGAGTGCAGAGCACAGATTAGGGTGGGGTGGAGGTGCCCTCTCTCAATCCCAGCTACAACGAGGTGGGGTAGGAAAAAGATCGAAAATTCAAGGCCAGCCTGAGCAACTCAGCAAAACCTGATCTCCAAATAAAGAGCGCTGGAGCACTTGCTTGGCAGGTGCAAGCTCTGGGTTCAATCCTAGCCCTGTAAACAACAGAAACCGCCACGATGTGTAAGAAACATCACACACAAAGGCCCATATATCATGCGATGTTACTTAATAAAACACCCCACGGGCAATCCGCAGGGGCAGAGAGCACCCTGGAGGCGGGAGAAGCCGGAGTGGCTACAGCGGTGTGTGGAGTTTCTTTCAGTGTGACGAAAATGTGTGGGAAGTAGGCAGAGCTGGTGGTGCCACAACAACGCAAACATACTAGGTGCCACCAAACTGCTGTTCAATTAGAAAGGGTTAATTCAAAGCCAGGCCTGGTAGCGCACGCCTGGGATCCCAGCACTCGGGCAGCATCCAGCCTGGGCCACACAGTGAGACCCTGTCTCAAACATACACAGGACAGCTAATTTCAGCTAAATGTGGTGCTACACGCATGGTCCACACGTGCTAGGAGGCTGAGGCAAGATCATGAATTTGAAACCAGCCTGGGCAGCTTAGTGACTCGGACCCTGTTGCTCCAGCAATGTGTGCACGCACATACACAGACACACACGTGTGCTAACATTTATTATGTTTCGCTTTAAATTTGTGACTCAGTCTCTCTAAGCAGTGCAGGCTGGCCTTGGTCTCTGATGCGCCTGCCTCCTGCATGCTGTGCTCCAGCCTGTGCCGTCTCTCCCAGTTTAACACAGATTAATTTAAACTCTTTTCCATGCTGAAGATCAGATTCAGGACCTCACACATACTAAGCTAGAGAGCTACTGCTGAGCTATACCCTTGGAAAAAAAAATGTTAATTTTTATTCTATGACATACTTGCTTTAACCAAAGCATTTAAAATGTTTATTGACCTACAAAGCCCGCCGTATCTGCGGCTTCTGCTGTGGTCACGTCTCCCCTTGAGTCCTGCAGGTGAGGGGAGGCCGGGCCCGGGCACAGGCGGAGGCCCTGGGCTGGCCCTGCATGTTGGGAACCAGCTCTGGCCCAGGGCTCACCGCCCGGTCAGGCCCCAGGGCGGTGGCCCAGTTCTCAGAGGGAGCCAAAGCTGGAACTCGCCCAGGGGAAATTATTTTCCTGGGGCCTAAATTTAGTCAGAGCATGGACATTGTGTCACTACCCGAACTCCTCCACAGTAAACAAGTTCAGAGCAAGGCCAGCAGCTGGGAGGGTCACACGGCCTGTCTGCACTCACTGGGGACATGGGGCATCAGCCATGGCAGCCCTACAGGAGCCCGCGGGGTTCCCGGCTAGACCTACGAAGCTTCTGGCAGTGTGGGTGTTGGGTACAGGTGCCCGGCGTGGAGGGGACAGGAGCATTTCAGGGACATCCAACTCCCGTGCTGCTGGAGCCGCCTCCGAGAACAGCACAGACCCCAAACACGGGAGAAGCTGGGACACGGCAGAAAGAAGCAGGGGGGCGGCCACATGTACTGCAGCAGCCCCAAAACTGCTCCCCAACACTGGCGGACAAGCGGCCCTGGCACTGGGCTGTGGCTGCTGTCTTCTTCCTATCTGGACAAGGGAGGAAATGGATTTGTCCCGTTCTGCGAGCAAGGAGAGGCCTGGAGGGCGCGTCAGTCCCACCGCGCACTCAGCCCCTAAACAGCAGCCTGGACGGAACCAAGGCCAAAATGTCGAAGCCCCTGGACCTCCTACAGCAAAGCCACCAACCACAGGCCCCAGGGTGCCGCAGCCGGGCCCACAGGGGACGAGATAGGAGGTGGCCACCACACACGGAGGAGGAGAGACAAAGCCACCAGGACACGGCAGTCCCTGGAGATACATCTGGTGCTGAGCTGGGGGACAGAGCTGCTGGCATCAGTATGTGGAGACCTGAACCCTGTCCTAAGTCCTGCAGGGCCCAGTGGTCACCATGCTGAGGCCCAGCAGCTCGGTCGGCTCCAGCACAGCTCCAGTCCCGAGCGGGACTGACACGTGCTGCAGGCCAGGACTGGGCCCTGGGCATGGAGGGCGAGCATTCCACTGCGAGCCCAGGCCTTGATGCAGGGACCAGGGCCAGGTCCCAGTCACACACACTGGCTGAAGGGCAAACTGACACGTGTCCCGGAGCCCCCTGAGCAACACTCACAGGACACAGACGGGCTGGGCATGGAGCTCAGTGGCACAGCTCTGACCTGGCACGCACAAAGCTCTGGGCTCCGTCCCCAGCACCACACACGCACAAAAGATCATGCCAGGTATGGTGGTGCACATCTGTAAGCTCAGCATTCGGAGGCTGAGGCAGGAGGATTGCCATGAGTTCAAGGCCACGTGGGGCTACAAAGGGAGACCCTGTCTCAAAAAACAAACAGACAAAACAAAAACAAACACAAAAAACAGGAAGAACCTGAGCGAGCAAGGGACACTGACGTAAAATACAGGCGAGCAGCTGGGAGAGAGCAGGACAAGTTCGGCCCGGGGAGGGGTACCCTGCGCGCTGGCCGGGAAGCAGAAGTAGTTGCTGGGGATTTTTTTTTGGCGGCTCAGGAAGGGAGGCCACACGGAGACCCACTCTTCTGGGCAGACTTGTGCGGAGCCCCGGCACTGCCCCATAGGTCCTCTCGTCCCCCCTGGGGTCCCTGCATCTGGGGTCCGACCACACCCAGCCCCCCATGTCCGACCTCTAGCTCTGTGGTCCAGTTACAGTGGGCTCTGGCCCGCTCTCTCTCACGCCACTCCATTAGCCCTGTGCCCCGCCACAGACCTGCTCCTTCCTCGATCCTGCTGCCTCTTCCTATCCTGTCTGCCGCCCCCTGACCCCTAAGGGGACCAAACTCTGCCCTCATCCTGCCCCTAGGGCCCAGGGTCGCCCCCAGCCCCGGTGACGCATCGCCTGGAGCCTCACAGGCCATGCAGGCCTTGGGCACTGCACCGGGTGTGAGCTCACGCAGCCTGCCTCACAGGAAGATGCGCCTAGCGGGCCGGCCCCTCGTGTCCTGAGGTTGTGACCTACTTTCCAACAGTCCCAGAAAAATATGCTTACAGACAAAGCAAAGCCAAGAACAATCAGGAGCAAAAAAGCGTCCCCTCCAGAAAAAACACCCAACAATTACTGAATTTAACTGGTAGACATACGAGAACATATCATGTCATTCTTTCAAGTATTTCACTTATTCAGGTACTGGGGGTTGAACTGAGGGCCTTCGCACTGAATTACATCCCCAGCACTTTTATATTTTTATGTTTTTTGAGACAGAGTCTCACCAATCCTGAACTGCCCAGGGCCCCGGCCTCCCAAGAGCTGGGATGATAGGTGTGCACAACACCTGGCTCTCACTAACCTTTCCTACTCTGTAATTCCCGCCACACTCGGTTTCCGAATGCAGGTGGGCTGCTTTTTAGCGGCCCCAGGAGAATGAAAGTCTCTAGGCATCAGCTTCCCCGGCCGGCACGCGGCACTCCCAGGCCTCCTCAGCCTGTGCCCCGCCCTCGCCCGTACCTTCCGCCCCTGGGTGCTCCTTGCCATCTGCCTGCGCCTCGCCTGCCTTGGCCTCGCAGTCACCGGGCAGGGCCCCGCTGGGCTCCGGGGCTGGGCTGCAGTTGCTGCTGTTCTCCTGCTTGATGGGGGAGGCGTCCGCTATGGAGCTCTGGTTGCTGTTGTCATCTGCGTGGGGACAGAAACACTGGATGACACCGCAGCTGCCGGGCCAGGGACAGCGCTGCATCCTGCACCTTGACACCCACAGGCCACGCCCCAGGAAAGGCCGGGGCTCCCCAGCTAGAGCCGGCAGCCAGCATACAGAACACCCTCGGGTGATCCCAGCACAGGGGAGGCTGAAGCAGGAGGATCGCCTTGACGTCAAGGCCAGCCTGGGCTACGTAGAGAGATCCTGCCTTAAAAACAAATATATGAAACATAAGAGACTGCCAGGCATGGTGGCACACGCCTGTGTTCCCAGCACTCAAGAGTCTGAGCCAGGAAGATCACTGTGAGTTGGAGACCAGCCTGGGCTACACAGTGAGTTCCAGGGCCAGCCTGAACTGCAAAGGGAGACCCTGGCTCAAAAAAAAGGACTTAAGAGACCACAGCACTACAAACTCTGGAAATGACTTGGCTCCTGCAGATGGCACCAGCTGTAACAGATTCTGGGACATCCGGGGAACGTGAACTGCGTCTGGGTTTACAAGCTGCTGGGACACAGGTTAAGTGTGTTGGAAGCGGTAGTGGGGTGGACAGGAGCGTCACGGCTGAACTGCACGGGACAGCAACGTTAGGTGGGAGGTTTTCTGTGTCTCGCTTTCCACAGAGGCTGCAGACAACCAACCGTCAAAGCTCCCAGCTCCACACAGAGAGCGGTGTATTTTTAAATGCAAATTATGTGTCAATTAAAAACAGCACGGAAAAAAATGCATGCAGCAAACCAACTGGTACTGATAAAAACCAGGGTGGGGGCTCTGGAGGCCCCTGTCCTGCTTTCTCTACTGTTCCCAGTGATGCTTTTCATAATCAAAAAAACAAGTGAGGAGGTAACTGGGCAGGGGACTTAGTGGCCAGGCTCAGGCAGGGCTGGGGCCAGGGTGCACCCCCTCCATGGATGCAGAGAGAGGTTCTGTTTTGTTTCTTTTTTGAGACAGCGCTATATAGCCCAGGCTGGCCTTGAACTCTGGGCGATGCTCCTGCCTCAGCCTCCAGAATGCCTGCATTACAGCTCAGCTCAGAGTGTCATTTTGTTCTGTTTTGTTTTCTTTCTTTTTTTTTAAGACAAGGTCTCACTGCGTAGTTCCACCTGGACTGGAACTCTCCTCAGCCTCCCAAGTGCCACACGCCTGCTCGTGATTTTTGTGTGTTGTTTGCAGTGCTGAGGATGGAACCCAGGTCCTTGGGCTGCTGGACTGGGGCTGAGCTATGGAGCTCCACCCTGGCCCTGAGGATCATTTCAAATGCAGATCCCTGGGCGGTGATTCCCAAAATAACACCCTAACCCAGTGCTGCCTTTCTGGGCCACGTTGCACCTGGGACCAGAGCCATTTCTGTGAAACAGAGAAAGTGGAAGTGGGGACAAAGATGTACCCCAACAGCAGTCCAGGCAAAAGCACTCTGCCACCCAGCTATTTTCTTTCTTTCTTTCTTTCTTTCTTTCTTTCTTTCTTTCTTTCTTTCTTTCTTTTTTTTTT